AAGCCATAAATCTACAATATTTATTTTCCCACTTCGAACACAAAGGTCTGTAAAAATTGCTGGTAGACTATTTGTTAACGTACAGAATGATACTTTCTGTATTTGTGTAGACATTAAGCCTGTTTTTATTCTTGTAAATCTCACAATTTACATTAATTTTCATGAGCATTGTAAAATGGAAAAACAAATTATTTCATGTGGCGCCATTGCCAGAATGTCGCATCAATGATATTTGCTTTTAAAATTATGTTAAAGAACTTGATATTTGAACTTGCTATTCGTACAATCGGTATAGTTTTTTTTTCACGATTTGAATGTTTCTTAGTGTTCACATACCATTTCGGAATTCAAAATAATTATCTAATATAATGATCAGCTTGATATTTTATTAAAATTTGCTTATATTTTAAGGAAAATTATACAATTATAATCATTTAGCGAGTATAGGCATAGTGGCGGGACGAGTTTAAATTAAATATGATGTTATGCGTTGTATCATATTTTTTTACAACTGGTTTTGGTATTTTAACTGAAAAAAACACAAATGGTCTCAATTCTTATAACATTATATACTTATATACATAGGTATTATGTTAAATCGAAATGATCGCTTCAAGAATACAAGGTATGTCCTTAGGACGTATTTGTTAAGAGTTTTAAATTCTTGTATCCGTGCAAACTATCAAAACATGTTTTAAATCATACAGACTTTATTTAGAGAAGACATAGTTATACTTATGAGTTATGACATATATTATTGTGTCACACAGAGAGAGGTGACTCTAATGAAATGGTTTAATACATTTTAATGATAAATGACACGGTATTTATATAAACCCAAAAAGTACTGTGTAGCATAAGTAAAACATTTATGCATTTTTTAAAAATATTTTATTGCCTGTCAATCTGACAACAATTATTTAATGAAAACTAAAATGTCGAAGCTAAGAAAATATCACAAATAAACCGTTGTTGGCTCATAGAATTAAGGAATCATTCATTACTAGTTATTTTTGTTGCTTGACGTAACACGTGATAACTGAATGTCGCCACTTTTATTTAAAAATATAAATTCTCCGGCAAGCTATCCATAACAAAAAGGACCCAGGGTACTCGATCGCTTTAAAAGCCGTAACAATTATGTATGCTCGTTTTACATTGAACGATTCAATTGAAAAAAAGGAAATTCTAAGTGCGTAACCGTGTCTCAATAGTTTTGGTTCGGTTATTTTTTACCCGACTGTAATCAATCATCATACAATAAACCTATAAGCACCCCACACTAAAGGTCCAAAATGTAATTTTCCACAGCATCAGGAAGGCGAAAAGCGTGCGAAGTCGCCCAACAAACATAATCGCTTCGCCATAACTTGTTTTATTCTGTGCATGACTTATAACCCCATTTTGGCGTATTAGTCAAGGATTATACGCTAAAGGAACGATGCATTTTCTTCTTTTGTACTTCTATACTTAATAAATTACACCCCAGCGATATTATAATATTCGACTTTGAATAGCATATTGCATTGCTGCTGTGTATAGCTTACAACATTCTATTACATTATGATGTTTTGTAGGTCATAGTTTGGGAACTGTAGCGCGTTTATTTATAACTTCATAACAAAAACAATTAATTTTGTAACAAACGTTTTCTTACATGCGTTACAACAAATCTATAGTATAGTCACAATAGTAATCATTGTACTGGCAACATTTTATCAAAAACTTGATTATTACAGATTCGTTATCACTTTACTTAAACGCATCATTTCACGTTAAAACGGCTTTAGTCCCATTACTATCAAATTAGATACAAAATTATTGATTTTTGTAAAAAGGGTCCAAGTCCACTATACTTAAATGCTAATAATCTGGACTGCATTTGAAAATAATAATATTGTTTTACAGAATGTAATTTTACTGTTTAATACCTATTAACTTTGATAAAGCCCTAATATGTTTATGCATTTTGAAACATATCAAAAGTTTTTTTCATTTTTCCAAAAGTTTAAAGTTAAGGATCAAGGCCCTTTTTGCATGAAGCAATTCAAATCAGGTTATCAAATCCATTTTTTCGACAAAACGCCATGGCGATACACATTTTCTTTATTGTAATAATAATTTATCACTGAATCGAAAAACTTTTTGAGAAATGAATCGGTCATTTCAAAAACGACACAAAATTGAAATTTTACACTAGCCACAAAAAAACTTCATAACATCATAACTTGTTTTTGCAGTTATGAGTCTGATGAAATTAGTTTTCACACAGACTATGTAACTAAGTATATAATTATCAAATTTGACAAAAAGTCATTTTTGAAAAATCGGTGACTTATGTCGTTTTTGAAATGACCGATTCAAATGTTTCCCAAGCCAATCATGCAAACGAGCACAACAAAATAATATTTTTGCAATGACTATACCACGGACCAGGCTACTATCAGGCTGTACCTAATAGTAAACAAACAAATTATTTTATTTTAGTTTTACATACATTTATCTCTGTGGGCGGCAATAGTTGATAATATTATGTCACATTTTGTCAATTTTCTTTAAGTCGTTTTCTCCCTTCTTTGGACATAGTATTAACCAAAATTAATTTTTGGTTCAATTTTAAATTGTTGGTGTCCTAAGTAATGTTTTGAATGGCATCATCATTTAACTTGCAATTTATCGAAAGTTGTGAAAAAAATGATATGCTATCAACTTTTGCCATCCTGCCACAGACATTTTTAGGGTGCGTTATAGACGATTTAGAGATGCGCGGTAATTACCGTTTTTGTCATGCGACAGGAAATTACTATAAAAAAAAAAACCCGACATCATATTCGTTGAGCTGCTATTGTTTCATATTTTACGGGAAGTCATCACATCGAACAGCACAACGTGTCAACGAACTGTCATAACATAACTGAATTACGTGATAACCTAAATCGGATTAATAATAAATAATAAAAAACCGACGTCGTCCGACTAGTTGTGCAATTATTGTAGGTAATTAAAATTACGGATGTTGGTACAATATCAAATAATATAACGTCGAGTTCTATCAGAACAGTGGAATTTTCTGAAGAGGCTAGGCGGCTTTGAAGGGACATAATATTATAACATGTACACAATACTTAACAATACCGCTTTGTCTGGGCGCAGAATTCTTTTTGTTTTTATTTTGTCATCACTACGAGGGATTGACCGGAAGAGGTCCATTTATGTACATGACATTTCCCGTGATGCGTGCTCACGTGGGAGGTCCCTTCGGGTTCACTCTATTAATACTTACCGGAGGAGACCAGGCGGCGACGGCAGCGACCGATGACTCACGATATTTCCGTCTTAATCTGGAACAGAACCCCCGGCTAAGTTTTTGCTGTTGCTGTTGGTGTTTTTTTATTGTAGGATTATAAACGTCCGTTAAAGTGCAACGGACGACTTCCCACCATCAGCAACCCTCTTCAAAAGCCCTACGTGCGGAAAACACGGGGCCGGAAAAACAACAACATCGCCGCCGCGCCGGTCTGGCCAAAGATAAACACCGGCATTAGGCTTAAATACGTTCCCCTCTTCGCGTTTACCATTCTAATTTTTAAACACCGCCTTAGGATCCAAAATGTTTTATTGCGTTCGACCCGCCTTTATTCAATGTAGTCTCGTAGACTAACGCCACGAGGATTATTACTTTATAATAATACAACATATTAATATGTTTAAAGTTGTTTTACGATCAAACGGTATCGTTCGGGGTGATCATTTGAAGGCTTTCTAATTTATTTGTCATTAACCGCAGCAACGGTCCAGGTTTTTAATTTATAATCGAGGTTATTTTTTAATTTGTAAAAGTCATTGTAATTTATAGTCCGTTGTATGCAAAATGTGTACACATTTCATATGTTCCTCTCTACTAAAGGACAGAACAACAAAAATTGGAATTTTTTACAAAAAATATTTTTCTAGTACTTATTCAAAATATTGTATGATGATACATATCTCTGGTTTTGCTATAATTTAATTACTAAGCGATAGTCATTAGTCATGACTGTTTTGAGCACCTAATTTTTTAATTGCAAACCGTTAAAAATAGGTTTAATGTGTTCACTATTTAATCTAAATTACCCTATAATTTGATATAGCTTGTTTAAAAACACGTATTTTATTAAATAAAAAGGTATATTTGTAATAAAACTTTTAGGTACTATAAAAAATCATTCTGCACTATGTCAGGTTTAATAAAAGGCATTAAAACATGTGTTTATCGAAAGCTAATAATTAATTAATTAAATTACATTCGTTAAAAACAAATAATATTAGAACAATTAAGTGCAAAAAAAACAAAAATGTTTCTACTAATTGGGTATTTTGATTATACTTTATACCACAACGAAAAATTATTATTGCTAATTGTATTGTTATCATTTTTAAAAAGTGTACTTATGAATATTACCTTGAATTTATATATATATATATTATATTTTGCATTAGATCATCAACCCTTTAGTTTTGTTTTTAGAGTCAACGGTAGTGTCATAACCAGAATTCTAGAGCAAGCGCTTGTTAGTATGTACTATCCCTGGGCATTGAAAAAGAAAATTATAAAAAAAGAAAAAAAAAATTGTACATCAGACACAATACATAGGGAAACATGGAGTACCTACTACTATTTTGTAATGATATAAAAACACTCGACTCTTATACCAAATATAATTGTATATTTATATCATAAATTATTTTACTATTATTGATAATTTTTTTTTTTCTACTTTTAGTAAAATCCAAGTGTTCTTAAAACATCCCGCATACAAGCCGTTCTATCTGACGTATTTTTAACATATTCTAGCGCAAACTTAAATAAGCTGGGTAAATTTCATTAAGACACAATACTTATATATTGTGTATATATCTGGCACACGCTTGTTATCTTATCGCCGATTCGTGGACAAGTAATTATGGTTTACGTGAAACGAAAGCGCTCATACAAGTGCGATACCTACAACATTGAGAGTCAGTGAATCATGCAGTTTTGTCTGCACGCACGTTATAGTTAAAGCATAACAAGTTATTATTATTTTTTTTTTTTTGGAAAAATTAATTTATACATAACTCTTTTTGTAATTTTCTACAAAGTTTGTTTAATTAACATTGTTGTTCTCATGACCGCTAAGCGTGCTTGTGCCGTTTAGCGTTAAACACAGATAAATATTTTCTATATTTGTTTTATATACCTACCTACCATTGAAAAATGCGTCGCGACGCTTCGTCCTATATTGTCCAAAAGAGACCCAGAAAGATTTGGGGAATGAAAACTCTGAAAATGTGCTTCGGCAAAGGCCGCATGAAACGGCACGAATCCGTCGATCAAGGTAAATTATTATGATTATGATGATTGTTGTCGGTATTAAATAAATAGGTTTAAGGATGTTGTTTGAAAAACCACCGAAAACCGGTTCAGAATTAAATTACGGAATAGTGTTTAAAATTCTAAAGAAACATTGGTAACCTGTAAAATATATTTAAATACAAATATGTTTTACCTACTGCTACTATTTAACATTGTAAAAACCATCTGCATTCCCCATTAAAGTCCGAGTTAAAATCTATTTATAGATTTTAATTTTTACCCATCTCGGTGATACTAATATATTAATATTATCGTAATGTTTTATTTGTTTAAAAGTGTAATATTTTGTTTAGGAAAGAAAAATATTTGTTTTATTGATATTTGATTTCTTGCTAAAACATAAATGTACAAATATTGTAGCAGTTATTATTGTATAATTATAATTATTGTGTTAATGAAATATTATTCAAATATTTAAAAAATACATTATTTCTGTTATTATTGTTTTTAGAATAATAACAATGATAATTTTTACGTTTTAAAATTAAATAATATAATTCTTTAAGTTGACTCTGATCTGTCTTTCTAACAGAGTAATGGTAGAAACCTGCCCAGAATGGCGCCTATTTTTGTATACTATTATTAAACTGTACAAACTGTAATTTTCCTAACATATTATCAATGTTTTGGCAGTTTCATAGCTAATAATTTAAATACCTAATCGACAATCCTAATATTTCATTTTTTATGGAGTGCATCATTATTACCAAGCAACGTGTTTTTTTTTTAGTAAAATACTAGAGACACTTGTAGCAGATAAATAAGGCTGAAACTATCCATATGCAATCCTTATACTTTTAACTGTAGAGTTTGAACGTGCTCATTATAAATGTAGGTATGAAAGCCATTAGTGGTATCTATATTAGTATATTTCCCGACAACATAGAACATTGAATGCTAGAATTATTATTACTCAATTGTTTAACGTTATTGTTTTAAATAGCCATTGCGTCACCGACTGATTTGTAACTAATATTTAGAGTTAGCATATTTTTTTAAATGATATAACTATACTTTTTTTTATCACGGTTTTTGAGTAATGGAGTATTGACAGTACTGTCAGCTTCGAAAAAAAAGTAGTAATAACAATAACAATCATTAACAATGTTTATTTTCTCTATGGTTAAATTGTGCAATGGACAAATGTCATTATTAGATGTTTGAATTTAATTTTCATTACTTACAAATTATAAACGTGCTAGAGTATCGGACAAAATATCCACATCAACATTTTGATTTTTATGAACATGTAAATATAAACAATGTTTTAAAGCGTTTAGCCTATATGGCTATGTATAAACATCGATCGTCGACGAAATTCATTTCCGGAATATCAGGTTTGAAAAGAATACTATAAAAAACCTAAATCATTTTTAGTTTACAAAATATTTTACACACACAACGAGTAAGTAAACATAACAAAAATCACAAATTTACATTACGGTATGAAAACTTTAGTTCCAAATTAAATTAGTTCTATTCAAACATGACAATGGCTTAAGCCGAACCCGGTAGTGTGGTAATAATTTACTCGGTAAAATTAACAATTAGGTATTCAAATTGTTTATGGTGATTATTGAATTATTTCAATAATTAGGATTTATTTTGAAAATTTTCAGAAGGTAAAGGATATTTTTTAAACATAAACACCACCCTCACTATAGTTTACCAATCAAACAGAAACACAGCAATTAAAAAGTTTTAAAGTGAACAATAAAATCACGAATTTCGCATATGTTCGTACAAATATTTATACAAGATAACTTATCTGAATTTTATTGGTATTAAAAATTGCTTATAGTAAATATTTGAAGAAGAAACACTAGTGTTGTGTTTTTTGTCAACGCGCTGTTTTGGTTACATGCAGGCGAGTGACACTAAGAATTTCGACAAAGTCCTTTTGATTTTTACACGAGCCATAGCGTTTTTCTGTATACTAATCGGAAATAAATGAGTCAAGCATTAATCATGATTCCATAGAGCTATGATGATTTACAGTATGAATAACACAATGATTACACTCTATTACGTAACGGTATTCCATTAAACGCGCTCAGTATATAACATTATCTATGTACCACACAAAAAAATAATTTAAAAAAAAATGATCTATTATAAAATAAAGTATATGGTCATAACATAGCAATTGAACCATTTATGCCGGTAGCGATTTCAACGTTCCCTGTCTGTTTTGTACCTCAACCAAACCTTCTCAATGTAAAAAATATGATGGCATAAGTTTTCTCATGGTCACGTTAATTTTTATGAGAATAGTGCGTAGTATACAATATTATAATACGATATAACATAATATTTACGGTATACACCATTAAAATATTTAAAAATTTAAAATTAACTATTGCCTGTAAAACTAGTACTTATCAAAAAAATGTGAACAATCAAACCTTTTCTGGACGTGGAGGGTTCATACTTAAGTGTTACAGTGACGTTATTAGAGGCCGATATTTTATTACCGCTGTATTCTTTTAAATTTTATATAACGTAGCAATCACAAAGTATCACATTTACAAAAAAAATAACGGTAAGGTTGATCTGTTGGGGAGTATAGTCTAACCATGAATTCAACTTCTCTTTCTTTAACTAAACACACCGCTGCTCTTTGGTTCTCCAACCAAACTTGAAAATTAAACGTTTTCACATAATTTTTAGTTTTTTTTTTTACATAATATGGATGCTCCGTTTATATAAAGCCTGTCCTTCCGCTTGAACCACGTTTTTTAGTATATATATATATATTTTTTTTTACTATTAATATTTTGTATTTTTACCACAATAAGGTCAATCATGATATAGTGAATAGTAGTGTCTCAAGGCTATTATAGTTCCGCTGCGATTATGTATACTACTCTGCACTGGTGACAGAAAAATGAGCGTCACTCTTACTTATACCGTTGAACCGTGCTGATCGGTCGGATTGATATTTTTCGCTTCTGCAATAGTTGTTACTCCGTCGTGAATCAAACAACTGCCGTTCTTCTGGTATTGGTTAGCCGTATTTTACTCTCAAAGTAAGAAAACTATATATTTTTAAAATTGTTAACATAGTTTTTCCTGTATATTAACAATAAATTTGAATATAGTACATTGAATAGCACACTAGCAACATTTTAATTTAACAACTAATATTGTGTGATTTCTAGTTTCCAAATAATCCATCACTATCGTACGGTTTTTTAGCATTTTAATTCTTTACTCTGTCTTACAAATTTTGTAGTTGATCAAACATTTAATAGAATACGAACCAGATTATAATTTTTTTTTCGAGATGATAACACGAAGTGCTGGAACATTTTCCCACGTTTATTTAATAAAAATATAATTTTTAATTCGTAAAAACTGGCTTACATTTTATCCATAAAAATCCTTTTTGTATAAAACGTCAGTGTCCTGCAGAAAATACCAAATTGCGTGCACGTACCTGTAGTCTTTCCTCACACACTAATGCAACTGGAATGTATGTGTATTGTTGTATGGAACTCATTTTGACACTTAAAAACAGTTTGAAAAAAATTCCATTCGGATTATATCACAGTATACAATGTATTTTTAAGGCGAACGTTTTGCGCTTATCAAATGTTTAGGTCTTCACTCTTCTTTCCAAATGTTCACCCCTGACAACATATGAGTAACATGACGCGTTTGCACCAAAATTACTACCCGTTGTTTTTATGCTTATATTTAAGTGTATTGCAAAATCCAGGCCAATTTTATTGTATCTATAGAATACGAAATCTAAATTTAACTGTACTTCATTATTTATTTGTGTGGTTGACCTCTCATAAGTATTATTAGACGTGTGATTAATTAATCATAACAACTTCACTAATAGTCTAGTGGATTTATTAACATTATAAATCTTTTTTAGCATACTTATTCCCATCATTATTACTTTATGCAAAATGACCAACCTACTTAAATCAAGTATTTTTAGAGTAGGTAAGTAGGTTCGTCTGTTTCTCGTATACTATTCGTTGTGCCTGGACAGTATGAAAAAAACACTTAAGCAACACTTGTGGCTATATATTATAAAATAATAAAATATTTAAATAAAAACTTAACCTCAAAAATAATTCTATAAAGCGCTATGGAGTATTTTTGTGGTTAATGCTTTATTTAAATATTTAATTATTTTACTGTACAGTATGCTCCTATTGAATTGCAGTTTTTGTTTTTTTTTTCAAAAAATGTTACTTGGTGTTTTTATAATTTTATATCATTTACAATTATTTACCGGTAATACTTAGTAATTTAAAGAGTTATAAAAAGTAACTTTTAAAAATTAAATAGTAAGAATGTTGATTGGCCAATAACTAGTTACTTTTAAGTTGTTAGTATTTAATAGTCGGGCAACTAAATCAAATAATAAGAAAAGAATGTGCTTACATAATGTCAACAAAAAAGCTTTAATTATTTTTAGTGAAAATAAGTGGATTACTTTATAATGATTTTACGGATAGTCTGATAGTTTAATTAGTCATCTAAAAACTTTACTAGCAACCACAACAGTCAATAACTCATTAGTTATGCTCTATAACATATATAATTTAAAATTGACATATATTTGAAATAATAAAGCATGACTTAGCTTCGCTATCGATAGATTGGTAAGGCTTCTAATGTGCCAAACTTTAAATTCGATTTTATATATTCCGCTTGTATACATCATAGATGTATTAAAATATGAAAATTACAGATGACCATAAATGTTGTTTTATTGTTTTCTCCAGACGTGAACATGATTGGAATAGCTATGCCAAGACTGGCCATTCAGACATCTTCTAGGAAACGATCTTTGTCCATCAATAACAGCAAAACGCATGATCGCTGTAAGTACATTTCGATTTATAACGTCTTATAATATATCATAATATCATTAACCTTAAGCACCGTGTAAACATATTCTATTCGTATTTTAATAAAATAACATAAAATATTTTCAACAAAAAGAGTACTCGAACCCGGCCGATAGAGTGATAGGAATTAATTATAACAATTACAATTTTGTGACCATGAACAGTGAAGAATATTGTTTTGCTCTGTCATTAACATCTCTTCCGCCATAATGTGTACCTATTCGTACATTCGTAGTATATATATATATATATATGTACATCATACATGATGAGATGAAATAATAGTTGACGCATTTTATTTTTACTAATTTAACAACAACTAATTGAGTTTAATTAAAGTGTTTAAGCCTTAACAAGAGGACAGGGGCGTTTAATCAAAAATATTATTTTGAGAAACTACGAAAATACACATTCTTACTACACAATTACAGAGTAACTTATCAACTTCAATTGTATGTATGGTTAATGCATCTAATATTTTCGGCCTTCCAATTAACGTTTTACAAATATGAGATAATACACATCTATTAATCTTTTTTTTTTTTTATTTGAAAATATTTACAATCTGTATTAGTATATAATATACAATAAATAAGTAAAATTTAGAGCTAATTTATTTACAACGCTGGACGACTTCCTTTTTTTCTGCGAAAAATTCCAACTAATAATTAAAATAAATTGATTTTATAAAACGGAAATTATTATTTTTTTATCATTGGGAACTATAATTATGAACTTCCCGTGATTTCACTTATCGGCTTTTAGCTTTACTTGTGATAAAATTATATTTAACATTTTATATTATAACCAATATTATATTTAAATTGCAGTACTAACGTCGATTCAGTTGTTCTACTAGTAGACTGTTAGTTTTCATTTAATACACGTTTTGGTATACTATCGTCTATCCAGATGATATGTTCAAGTTTATAAGTCGTTACTTTGTCTACGATTCGAATGTCGACACAACACTCAATTGTGATTCAGTTTTTTTATAACCTAATCCGTGATATATTTAAAAATAAAACCAAAGGTTAAGTCATGTTGTATTTCCACGCGCAGTCATAATATTTTAGCATTTTATTGACGCGAATTCAACTTTAGGCGGTGGTAATATTAATAACTTTGCTGTCGGTTCTATTTAAATACAAAATTAAATAAACGTCCTTGACTTCACAAACGTCGAAGAACGAGAATGGAAAATGTCATTCCTATGATCGCATCGGTATATTTATGGCTTTCCCAAATGGACATATTTCTACTTGGCAACGCACAACGGTTTCCGTTCGTATACAGTTTTCCCCTCGATGAATATGACCGAGGTGTTTGACCTTTTTCACAAACAATTAGCCGTACATCTGTTTTCATTGGCAATCGTTTAGCCAAAGTCTAAATTGTTGTCGTTTCGAAAGCTCTGGAAAATCGATACACAGACGTCATGTGCGTTAATAACCAACCGATGCACATTGTACTCACCGTGTAATATTTCACCATAATATGTATATTAAAATATATTGAACGATATTTTTGTTTTACATAATAATAACAACAGTACGCCGGTGTATTGCGCGTGCATTGGCTGGCAGATAGTGTAATACAATTGAATAATGAATTTTTTAACCGAATTTAGGCGAACAATCGTTGTTTTCGATAACGGATCCGGACGGAATAAATTAGTAAAAGTATACAACACTAAATTACACCGCATTTTCTCAAACATAATGCATAACAATATACTAGTCGGGCATGTATTGCCTATTTTTTCATTAGTTTTTTTGCCCGGGGTCAACATGTACGACGCAACTAATCGTAATAATAAATAATCGGCCATCGCATGCTTGCAAGATGATACTATAATTATAATACTATTTAGCGTCAAGACGTACACCTACACCGACGTTATTAGCGTTCCGACATTATTGTTATTGTTCGAGCTTAACGGTGTACGCATTTTTTTTTTAAGTTGTGTACTCGACGAGTTGACCAACCAGAGGTCTCTCTCGGTTTGCCTGACGGTTCTTGACGTGAGTCATCAGCGTTTTTAAATTCGTACAAACGAGATTTGCACATACTCATTATAATGTGTACGGCTACGGTGGCACATGAGCGTAATGCAAAATCGGACCTTGAAAAGTTTGCTTCAGTATTTTCTCGCATATGTTCCTCTATATCAGCAAAGTGCAGATGTGTATGAAGTGACCTTTTCGGACCGCGTGCGCCTGTGTGTTTGTCCTTTTGTTATTATTTTATCATCGATTCGAAGAGACCTGATATACCACCTAATATAAATGGTCGTTTTCCGCACCCCGCGTTTTTGTACATGCCAGTGTAATGTTTTATGTGTTATTGTGATTTTTTTCAAACCGACCAAACTACCGGCAATAGAAAAGCTCCATGGGAGAGCCCCTACACAACAACTTCGTCCCCGTGATGAAAGATCAATATGTAGTCACAGGTGAGTCATCCGTCAGATTATCTTACCCCTTTGCTACCCGTCGTATTATCCTAATACGATATGTTAGTATGTATAATTATTGGTCGTAAAATTAAATAAAATAACATTCGTCCGGCCGTTGCGTTCTATGACATTATAATGACTTAATTAAGCAATTTAATATATAACATGTAGGTATGTGTATATTTGAGCTAATCATATATTTTGTTGAACGGCTTAAATTGCCTACCTACTTGAAAATTTCTTTTGTGCGCACAATGTGGTGGAGTTGTTAAGTAATTGATTTGTATGTGCACTTTTCTTAGTATCGAAATCAACTCGATCTGTTACCACTTATCAGAATGAAATATGAATAGCAGATGTTTACTATGTTAATACGCAACCGAAATTTTACACTCAAAGGTCACTATTAACTTATTTATATGACCGATTCATCTGTGAAAAATGAATATATAATGTTATTTAATATTTTTCAAATTTTTTAACGTAATACTAACGGATAATAATAATCGCAGTAATAAAAATAATATAGTATAAATTATCGCACTATGCGTCAGTTAAGACTAATCACACCTAGAATAAATTATTACTCCAAAGTATATTAATTCATTAGTCGTCCGTGACTCACAAACAGTAATAGTTTTATAATAATATTTTTTATAAATTATGATAATAATAATAATAATAATAATATAGTCAAAACAATCGGGGGTTTCTTTTAATGATTTTCTTTTTTAAAAATGGAGGTCCTTGGACCTTGGGTGTATTTAGGTTTCCCGACAATCGTCTATCGCAGTTTCCAACAACTAGTTTATTCGCACATAGATTTTCAACAATGAAAAATATTGGGCCTATATAATTAAATCTTGGTTTAGGTATAGATAATCGTTAGGCTGTATATATTGCATCTAAAAGGTGGAACTTAAATTGTTAATGTCGCCCATGTTGACCGTATTTATTGAGGTTTATTGCTGTGCGTGATAATTTAACAATATTAAAACCTAAGCGAGAAAAATACAATTATCTATGTTATATAACTGTAAAACTATAAATTATTATTTTAAGGTTGATCTGTGTACATTTTATTTTTATACAACGCGGATCTCTCGGCAATAATCTCGAGGGTATTACCGAGTCCCAAGTAATTAGAAATTAAAATTACTATTCAGATAAATATCAAAAGGTAACACAAATGAATTACTTTTTCGTGTTTACTATGTATGCACGCTTTAATATTATCCCCTGAGACTTGACCGAAATAAGCTTCCGTATTGTGTGATATAGTTAAAGTAGGATACAAGTTGAAAAATCGCATTTGTCCAGTTTTTATTTTACACGACATTTCACAGAGTTTAAACCGAAATATAGTATGTTCTGTGTAATACTACACAGCGTATAGGTGTTTAGGCCTAAGAGTAGTATAATATGTACACACGTGATCCGAAAAACGATTGGCCGAAACTTTCTCAGACGCATTAACGTCACCTTCGTCGTCTGTGAACTTTGGCCTTTGATAAGAACGACACGGAACGATCGTGGAAACGCATAATTTACATTACAAATGCCGTTGAGTAATTTTAAATTTATAATCATTAATACATATTGTATACAAGTATAATTATCACAAATGTCTATATATTTGAGTCACAATAGTTAAAAATATATTATGTGTACAGAAGTCGTGAACTACTATCACTGTATTATTATCTCTATACATAGTACAGAATTTTCGCAAATGTATATGACAGAGAAAATATTGTCGGCACACAAAACGATACAGATTTTGTTAGGCTTAAAAAAAACAACCATTACTACTTGTATAATATGGTCTGTAATCACTAAGTAAACCGTACCTCGCCTGGGCTTATATTTACTTTATTCAGCGTCCCACGTTATATTCTGTCCTGTTAAAATAATAACAAAAAAAATATTATTAGTTTGTTACGCTAACCTAGTGGTAGGTTTACTACATAGTACATAAGTACAACAACCGGTGTACGACGGGCTTGAACAAACTGCACGAAGCAGCTGATGCACACTATTGTGTGTTGGATTGTAAAACAGAAATGAGTAAAGTCAATAGTTCATTAAAATTTAATGGATCGATCGCAGGTCACTGTAATATTATTTGACGTTTAATCAGCCACTAAACGTTTAATAATTCGTTAAACGCTTGTGTTGTGCAAACCTGGGTGTCCATTAGATGGGTAGTTGACGTGTCTCTATTTAGTCACATACATTTTTATTGAAGACCACGGGGCGGCGTCTTCTGGACCTTCTAGTGGACGCCCAGGTTAACACTATGTGTAAAATAATTGAAGGGTCACGAAGAAAAAAGATCAATGTCCATTTTTGAAATTTACTAACTTATAAAATGACATTTCAGCAAGGGTTTGAGCAAGAGAAAAACAGATGTTGTCGGTAAACTAAATATATTTGAGTAAAAAAAAAAAAAATTTACTTATACAAAAAGTGAAAAATAAAATAGTATCTCATGTTCACAAAAAAATTGACATTGATCTTTTTTCCCCGTCACCCTTTAATTAAATAAGTTATACACTATGCATAAATACATGGATACATCATTAAAATTATTATTACATTTTAGAACAACTAAGATATTGAATGGTTATATTTTATTGTATTATAAAATAATTGAGTTTGGAGCTATCAAAAGAATAACATATCGATTGTAGGCGGTTAGGCATTGAAGGTTCGTGATAAGCTAGATACCATTAAAATTCGCCTTAAGTTGTGAATTTACATGTAAGAGCTGATGATTTTTTGCCACTATTCATTGAACGCGACTAGAGAAGTTAAATAGGGTTTCAGGTAAATTAATTATTGCATTAAATAGCTTTTAAACAAATAAGTGACCATTTATAGGTCTACGACTTTTTTGTTTATAGATTCAATCTTCTAATTATATCGTCGTTACTGTAACTTGTTACTTCAGTTACGTTACTACCAAAAACTTCAAATTAGTGTTTTAACCTATATTTTATGCGGACTCACAATTGTTAAAAACAAAATAAATACATATTTTTTTGAATCATCTAAATAAATAAGTGTAGGGTAACATATTTGTTCGGTCTTCTATGCAAAAAGCTGTAAGTAACTCGCAATTTTTCAAAAATGAGATGATTGCAAACTGTTGTTTATAACAAAGTATTTTGTGTTAAAATACAGTAAAACATCATTTAGACCCTCAAAATACGTTTTTTATATGGAATATTTACCCGTTGAAAACCCGTAAAATTAGTATTTACTAAATGATAAAGTAGTGTATACTTTGAAGTTACTGCACAAACGTTTAATACATTTATTTCGCGACACATAATATACTGTATACATTTTACTTAGTAATCCTAAACTAACTAATACAACAGTATCTACACAATATTAATATTTATTTTTTAACACACGATGTTCTAACACACGATTAGCGTTAAACACTTCAAATTAAATTTATTTTTCAATTAGTTCCTAACTTTGATGAAATACTCTTATGGTAAGTCGTCATTGAAACTATGTTATTAGTAGATAACTGTAACGCAGTATCCCGAAATTTATTTTGCTAAATTTTGGTGTTAATAATTGTTTTAGACAAAAAAAAAAAAAATTACCAAAAAAATGTTTTGAAGTAGATTATTACACGTCATTACAATTAAATTATTGTTATTGTATTATGTTGATATCGGCCGAACAACATTTGTGTAGGTTAAGCTCATCATTTCAGAAGGGCAATATAGTGTAAAAATATTCATAACATTGATTGTTTAATCAATGTTATTGTTTGTTTGTTTTTTTTTTTTTACTTTTTTACCTACCCGGCGTACATAAAAACGTACACGGGAGTTCGTGAGCAAGGTTGTGCTCGTCTCCCCTCCGCTTCCTCCCCCCCCCCAGGCCGGTGTTCCTGATCACGCAGACCGGTGGAGGCGCATGCCGCCGCTTCTACGGTTATGTGCCACCGAGTCGGTTTCGTAAGGTCGATTCGGGCCGCGTGCGTACCGTTCGCTTGGTTGTGTATAGGCATGTGATCGCATGACTCATCGCCGCCGCCGCCGCCGCGCCGTTCACCTCCACTGCCTGTAGGTACTATACAATAATAATAATAATAATACAACGCCTCTCTCCTGCCGGCCACTATCGATGGCGCTAAAATCGATGTTACCCGACTCCGGCGTTTCGGGATCGACTGACGGACAGTATTAAACATTGACACGAAAAAACGAAACGAGCGAAATCGGCGGCAAGACTTTTTATGGCTTTTGGTTAAAAAAAATATATGTACACCGGCAAACTCGACGGACGAACGGCCCGAACCCGGCGCGGAGGGGAAGTCGGCGGCTATCGATTGTTGTTGCGGGACTCGGGCGACGGCTGTGTACGACGGCCAGCAACACACGGCTGACTTCTGAAGCCAACGCGCGCGCTCGGCTACGGCGGCTCTATACACCTCACACGGGTTCATCCGTCTTACGCGTGCGGTTCGTGTGTACTGTGTGTCAGAAATAATCTATAATTAATAGTACAACAAAAAATAACTGTGCACCGGCCCGTTAAAAGTGTGTGTGTGTGTTTGTTATGATGGGTGCCGGTTACCGGAAATTTCGATCCAGAAAAGGATTAATGGAAAAACGAAAAAAATCTGTAGCTTAACTACCGTGGTAAGTGTTCGACTTGGTAAAACGATTAATTATTTTGTTTATTCATCGTCGATTTTTTAAGTTTTTTTTACAAAAAATGTATTAATATTTTTCGGACGACTCGCCGACTTTCACCGGTATAACGAGGCGACGGCGCGGTTGTTTCGGTTTTGTTTAAATATTATTGTACGTTTAACGAAAAAACGCATTTTAAAATAAAACTAACAATACTATTAAAATAAAACATTACCGTTTTTCTGTGTAGGTATATGCAATATTATGTAAATAGACACAGGGCATGTCTATAGTGTGTAATAAAGTATCCGTGGGTAAGATTACGAGATCGGAATTTTGGCGATAACGTAGCGTACGCTCGGTGTGGATAAATAATTTGATATATTGCGTAGATTATGTCTCATACACTAATTTGATAATTTTAAAGAGATTATGCGGTGTGTTATCAAGCAAGCATCTCCGAAAACTTTTTTTCGTGGTCGTCGAGTTTATTATTTTTTAGATCGTAAAAAACCTATGCGAGTAATTATTTCTTCGACGTCGCCTTATTTGCTATTTTAATATAATTAAATTATTTTTTTCTTTTAACCGTTTTTTATCAACTCTTTCGCCACAGTCGTGTGTTGGCGCGTCGACGTTATTGATTATATCGGGTTCGTGACGTTGTTGTTTTTTTTTGTACCTCATCGTCCGACTGCATTTGTCAGAGCACAATAACAATACATTATTTTGATAACAAATGACTCACACCGTTGTTTTAGGCGTAGGTGTTAAACTAGCGGCGGCGCGCGTTGAAGAGTCCGCTTGTTCGGTGGCACGACCCGTAAGCTTAATGCCGTTGGTTATCCGAAATAATTGTACTCCAGGCTTGGCAAATAAGTATCGTTGACGTGTCAGATGTTCATAGGGTCGTCAGGCGTATTCATTGCAAACAAACGGTGCAAAAGTAATTGCAATTTTTTTTTTTCGAGCACAAACATTTCAGCGAATAATTTAATTTAAATTCACAATTCTTAAGTTTTAATATTTTATAAACATGGCTTTAAACAAGTGATTAGAATTTTGGAGGGAGCTAAAATCAATACGAGGGGATGAGCTGTCCTCCCTCCACCTTGTTGCTTGTATGATAGCGGTTAAATAAAAATGAAAGCGTTTGTTGTTTATCTTACGTTTTCTCATTATATTGACAATCGCTCTACGTAATCCCGTTACGTAATGTTTACGTATATTCACCCTAACGATGAACCGTTTTCACGGAATGAGGGACGAGGCATAGTACCAATAATATTCATATTAATACGATTATAACAGTTCAGATTTTTTCGTTTATTCATATTTTTTTCTCAGGGCCAGTTCAATCCGGACAGGCTGTCGGTTGGGAAATTTCATGGCGGTCCACAAAATTTAAAACAAAAATATTTCACCAAAACCGCCCAACTTTACTGTAAACTTAACTAAACCTAAAACGCGAGTGACCCGGTTGGGCTTTGAAGTTTAAATGGCAGTCCATAAATTGAACATGTTGTTTAAAAATCACCTATTAAACCTAATGACTGGCCGATGACCAGTTTTGAATAATTTAAATTAAAAGTAGTAAGTACATGACGTTTAAAAAAAGTCCTTACAAATAACAATAGTACTGCGCTCCACCTACACGTATGTAGATGTTCAATGAAAATAACCCAAATGTAGTAATAATTATTCAAGTTATCGGCCAGTCATTAAATTTAGCAGATGATGGTTTTTTTAATCATCGCCGTTTTCAATGTTGGTATTATTGTTTAGTTTAGTTGATTAAGAAGGCATGAATAACACAAACATAAATTGATAATAGAATAACTATAGGTACGTAACAAAAGGTACACGAAAGCAAAAATATAAAATCATAAGTATTTCCAGAGAAAATCAGGGCCTTATTCTTGGTGAATATATATTTGTTTGAAGCCATATTTTCTCTCTGGTGTGTAAAATGTAAATACGCTGAAACGCTGAATTTACTAAATTGACTATTTTGGCTGATGTCGTGAGAACGTTTTCGAGAAATGCGTAACGCTAACGCCAGAGATTTAATCCCTTGCCTTCCTCTCTCCATCGAACGACCGGCTTAGTGTATACATTGCATACAGGCCGGTCAAACGCGTTTGAACGGAATTCGACCATTATTCGTTTTAAGGCCCATAACAAGTAGGTAGTTTGTGATGATGGCTATGTTTCCAAATTTTATGTTAAAACTATTCGATTCGTTAGAAACCAACCAAAAAGCTTTTCAGCTGTGATACTACAACTATTTACTAAGAAAAATATGCTAAAGTATGCTATGTAAGTGTTACGTTATTTTGCAAACAGATATTCGTATTGTAACTAAAATGATTATACATAATAAAATATAAGTAAAAAACGATATCTAAACGGTGTCCTGGCTCGTGATAGTAACAAGTTAAACAAAAGGCAAACGCTCGACGTTCTTATAATATAGTAGGTATACGTGAAATCGAATATTATTACCGAAACGCGTTATATAATCATTTGATTTCATTATACACATATACCTACATGATACGCGTAGTCATCTGCTTGGCCTGCGCTAGTAATTTTCGAGGTTGCGTTGAATTATTATTATACGTGTTTATTTATACTGCAAAATATACATAAAAATATGAAGGTAGGTATATAGTAGCTGTACAGTGTGTGTACTGTGTAGTGTGTACACATAAATAAATTTACGGACGGAGAACGGTTAAAAAAAACTAACAGACAAAATTATTATTGCGCGTTTGAAGTAGTTGCAGTAAAAAATTAATAATTCCAAACCTGTAATCAAACAATGATTATTTTTTATATTAAATACCCAATAGTGATTATATATTTATAACTATATTTGTATAATAGGCGACCTCGTTAGCGAATTCCGTCATTATATATTTATATTATTCCCCCCAAAAAACGAGTTTAATAAATAATAGGTAAATAAATCAGATACGCGTTTTCCGTGGGAAGTCGGTTTTATTCAACAGTAATTAAATCAAAACAGCTGTCATTTTAATAATTATTTAAAGCGCAGTTTTTATTTTGTTTTCATTAAATCAGTCTTTAATGCTCAATTTGGACTTCGTCGATTAAAGTCAAATAACGAAACCCTAAATTTAAGGAAACGCAACAGCGTTAGTTTACTTTTTTGTATCGTTCGTCAATTAACAGTTCCAGACTTTTATCACAAAGTTACCATCAAAAATTGTATCATATCCCATTATAATTACCAGTTATGTTTGCTATAAATTCTGGTTGGCCGACGTAATCACGCATTAAAAATTATTAAAACGCGCATTAGAGCATACCTATTTATATACATAATACATTAACAATACACTGTGTGAGTTGTCGATAATAATCCGTATCGATGATGATAATATAATAATAATAAAATATAATAAAAACGAAATTCATCAACCGACGAGTTCTGATAGCACATTACACCTTTGTCTGTTATTGAATATACCTCACTGTCCGTTTATTGTGTTGGCATTTAGTAATAGACAAGTGCATTTGTCCATCAAAGTCACAGGAGTGAACATTATTAGTATTTTGTTTTAAAAAGAAAAATGTGTATTTTTCCAGTGTGTCATTTGAGGACGCATCAGCAACGCTGCCCCATGTCGGCCGTTTGCTACGAAGGCGGCGTCGGCGGCAGATCCAGAGCAGGGCTCAGGCTCAGCCTGAACAGAAGCATCAGCGAACCCGGTCCGACGGTGCCAATCACCGTCACCACCCCGACCAACCCCAAACGGTTTCGGCTGGAACCCATACCCAGTTTGGCGGCCAGTTTACCGGCCAGTCCGAATTCCGACGGCTCCACTCTGAGCAGTGCGCTCGTACTCAACAAGGTATTTACACATAAAAAAAAAAAAAAAAAAACATATAACGACTTGCCCAGTGTAGACGTTACGAAATCTTACGTCAAATATTGGCTTATCAGTCGAGGAAATCATTACTCGAATCAATGAGAGTGCGTTTATAAAAATAAAACCGTACCAGAATGACATCACCGGGTAGATATAGGCACCGGCGTTTATCGAGCAGTAAGGTCGTAGGGTTCAACCGTTAATAATAATAATCGTATCGACCGACATTGATTGTATTGACATTACCTCTACCTATATTATATAGTGATCGATAGCGAGGTTTGGAATATGTTAAAACTTTGGGTCAATTACCTTATATGGGACACGTTCAAAGGGGGTTTTCGCACCTTTTTTCGAGTACACGTAGCCACAATTGTGTTTACAGATCCGGACATTCAGTTGGTCGTGCCATATCTCTAGTAGTTGTTTAAAAAAATATCTCATTTCCAGGTCAAGAGAATCGACGCGGATACACTGAGGCAAAAGCTGGAACTCCACGGGCCGGCCGTGTTGACCGTGGACTGTCGGTCGTTTGTGTGTTACAACACTGGTCACATCAGAGGGGCCGTCAACGTCAACGTGGCTGACCGGATCAACCGGAGGCGCCTGCAGAGCGGCAAAGCCACGCTGGTGGAGTTGGCGTCGTCAAGGGATGCCAAGGAAGCCCTGCGGAGACGCGGTTACCGGGAAGTGGTGGTCTACGACGACTCCACCGAAGATCTGGACCGAGTGGCCCACAACCACCCGCTGATGCTGATTCTTGCCTCTTTGGTTGAAGACGAAAGGGAGCCTTCGTTTCTCATAGGTAAGTCTGCACGCGAATTCAATTAATCCACGAGACCTGCGCATACAAAGCAAGTACAGGTTACCGTAGGGGAATGATACGGAGAATAAATATCGGCTATTCAAAATCCATAGGATGTGTTTTCTCGGACGAAATCTGACGACGGATGTGGAATTGGCTGCAATAGATTATGTTCGAGACTTGTGATTTGTGCGCAATTTAATCGGAGCGGATTAGAAATGTGTACGGGACGATTAAAATGATTTTACCGGAAAGAATTGCAATTTTTTTAATTACACTGCGTTTCTTAAGGTGTTTTTTGGGGAAAGTTCCTCGACCTAGTTCTACTCTCTCTGCTAGTGCGTTGTAACTTGTGCGGTATAGTGCTAGATTTTGGCTCTGTTCGACCGCTGTACATTGTGACAGCGGGTCCTCTACATTGTACTCCGGTTACTGGTTAGGTAAATTCATCAACTTTACTATAAATCCGAAAGTTAAAAATATAAATGTTGGACATTAGCTGTCTATAACATAACCTACTCTTATTAGGGTCGTCTCATAAACGTGTTTTTTTATTATAAAAAATATTATGTAATAACAATGACAAAATTATAAATATTTGTTTATGGAGTTTGAAGAGTAAATTTTAAATACAAATAGTGTAAATAAGATATGACTAATAGAAAAAACAAAATACTCGTCGACAACCAGTTTTGAATAAAATATTTAAGTTATTACTCATAAAGCTAAACAGGAATATAAGTGCGGTTAATTGGATAAAAGTAATATTTACTGCACCATTATTTTAGTGGTACATCCTTGAAAGGGGTCAAGGGTTGTAACTTGTATCCTACTCTTTTCTTAAAAGATATTTTGTTTTTATTCCTACTTTTTAAAATTGTATTTTGGCTTGACAATTGTCGTATATTTTTATTTTTAATTACTTTTACAATTTTTGTATCAAACGGTTTTTGTTAAAAAACATTGGTTTATGCATTTTGTTAGGCTCTGTTTGTATTTACGGTATCGATTTATAAATCTTGTGGGGGGAAATGGCAAATATTTATAGTTATAAAAAAACTAGTATAAATATTGTAATTTTAGGCAAGTTTTTGGATGGATATAAGTGTTTTTAACACTAACCGTTGAATCTCATATAAACTTTTTAGTAGTTTTAAAATTTAATGCTACCTTCAAACCTCTGGTGGTTTAATTACACTTCACGTCCTTGATGTGCCCGAAATAATTCTATTATTAGTAGACACACTATGAAGTGTCAACATAGTATGTTTAACAATAAATTTAAACAAACATATACCGAAATTTTATATACAACCGTATGTATGTTAATGAGTGTCGTGTCATATGTTGACGATGTTTATCGGTCGACGAGGGGGGAGACTTGTGCTTTCAGTTTCGTCTAGCGTTTTGTATATTATACGAGCTATTAACTCGATGTAAATAATATTATGCAAATCGACCAGTTGCGCATTTAACTTAATTTAGACACACTTAAAAACGCCATGAAACTGTTTTGGGCAGTAATCAATTAGGGTAGTAATGGGTTTTTTTTCTCGAGAAAGTTACTATCCAGATTAAAGTGAACATATTAATATATTATACTTACCAGCTTCATTTTTTTTTTGTCTTTACGGAGCGTTTCGAATGGGTATTTTCGCGAAGAAGTAGGGGAGGCTGTAACCCCGGTTAGGTCTCGTGACAGTTGCTCGTGTTAACGTTGACTGTGTAAATTTGAATGTAAACTCTTAATATAACCGATTGGAAGTGTATGATCTTTCGCACGTTGTAATTAAGCAATTATTATAATTACTGTCGACATTTATCCGAATGGCGTCGGTATTTTAATAACTCTATAGTAAACGGTCCATTTACTATACTCATCAGTCATCGGTTATTAATAAATGACGTTAAGCGTGTGAATAAGTGGTCGTCGAAACGTATAGCGCACAGGCCATCATCATCATCATCATCATCATCATATTAATATGTACACAAATAATATTTAGGACGTTGGACAACAAAGAGAGCCGAGTAGAAATAAAGAAAGAAAGACCACGTGCATGACGCAAAGACTGTTATTCAAATAATTATGCTTGAAGTTTTTCAATCGTTTTCGTCTCATTGGAAAGGGTAAAGTTGAAAAGCGATATCAATACATTCCCCCCCCCCCATCATACTATTATTATTACCTCGTACCTTCCGCGTGACGGACTTGGATCTCTGACTCGGCTGGGCAATCGTCATGACTATTATTTCCACTCGTTATCACCGCGTGTCTGTCGTTCAATATTGGTAGGTACACAATGTTATACATTAACAGTACAACTTTTGAAGCAGTCAAGTTTAGGATCGGCACGGCTTGTCGAGCGATCAAACAGAAACACACAATGTTTGGCTGGCCCCAAACGACATGCGATCGTTATCGACAATCAATCAGTCGCAGTATAACGAAAACAGCCATACATTGTTTCACAAATAATGGATGATTAAAAAACAGTAGCTGTTATATTTTTAGTCAGTGTTACTAGCCGGGTGTCGCTTGACTGTATGTATATAAATTAAAAGATTGTTGAACGTCGTCGACACACCAATCGATAAGGTTTATTTTCAGAGACCATTGGCACGGTAGCAGCTGTCCCATTTACGGGCAAACATCCCTTCCAGGTGAAGTGCATGTGTACACGACGACGCATAAATATACGTCGTTCGTAAGCACAAAGGAATTTCTTTTGGAGACAGACTACTAGGTCCTCACTCTTTTGTACATAATAGCATATCCGGCACGACCGAGATCAGCTGCTGTGTGTCGTCATAATATCTTCTGGAAAAATCTAGGAGGCTTTAAAAGACAAAAGGGAATTTTAATTATTTTTACTGGTCTTGAAGACGGAAAGAACGGTCCCGGTCGTGGCTATTTATTAAGGGGCAAAATATAGGCAATATTTTACAAAAACTCATTTAAATTGTCTATTGTTATGTATCTATTATGTAAATTTAATTTAATATTTATTTTTATTTGTTATACAAAAAAACAGACATAATAATACTTTTTCAACTTTGTATCGAAGCTAAAAATCAATCAATTAGTAGCTAATTTTTAGCAATGTTTTTAAGTCTAGTTTTCAGTTTTTATTTAGTTCTGCGAAGAAGATAAGCGCTTTTGCCTAAGCCTAACTCCTCAATAAACAGTGTTAAACATAGGGTGTGTAACGTCATGATTCTGTGGCCCAAATTTTTTTTAGCTATAAAACTAAAATTATAACCGTTATTTGAAGGTAATTTTGGAAAAGTTTAAAACTTCCTTTGATATTTGCAATAATAATAAAAAATAACATGAACTACCACAATAACTCAAACCATTTTATTAAAATATTTTATAAATAACAAAACAACAGCTATTTGACGTTTATCGTTTTACCTTTGTTTTTACAGACCAGGTGACTGTATTTTTTTTATTAGAAATAAATTACTTTTCCACACTGATTCATTGCTAAATAATTAATTACCTTCAACAGGAATAACTACTCAGTTTTCGCGTGTCAATGGTTGTTTATTTATGCGATGATTTTTTTTTAATTGAGGAAAACCCTTTCTTGGAAACAGATGAAACATGACTAACGATTTTTACTGCAAAAAACCTTGAAAGTGAATCATCCTTTTTCCAGACGGACGGTAATTGGTTGCTTTTAAAAATATTAATCTGCGAAATGTCCCAACTTTCATCTGCGAAAGGATCGAGGGGAAAAATCAATTGGTTATTAGTATTACGCTTTTAGGGTGGCCGTTTTTCTGGTGTAGGGTTTCTCCTAGTCGACACAAACGCATAGTTTGCTTTACAAACAATAAACAATAGTATTATAGCCAACCCTTCTACGATTTTCTAACTAAACTATATTTAGGGGAACGGTCGGACGCATCTCTTAGTTATTTCAATGTCATTTGCGCTAATGCACATCGAGTTATTTCCCGTTTGGATTCGATGAATAGTCGATTGAGTAATTGGACATTTGTGCCGTCCAGCAATACAATACCAATAATCGCTGTTAACTGCTGAAACGGTAAATCGCTGAATCATTTATTTAACGGCCTAAAACTATACAAACAGAATGTCGTGTCGCTACAATATAATTTACAAACGGACGAGACAATAAAAGTAAGTTTTCTAAACTATCCGACTTGTTTATACACAACCCGAATAAAAAGAATGTAGCTGTTATAACAGTCGGTGACAAAATGCATATTATTACTGCAATCATCAATATTGAATTAAATAGTATTATTATTATTATTATTATTATTATTATTATTATTACTGTTGTTATTTAATATGTAATATTTTTAAGGAAGTCGTTCGTTTGTTATGCTAACATGCGGTAAACGTCTATAGCGCAATTCGTGGTGTTTTTTATTTTTTCATTCGCATTAAACAAATATTATGCACTTCAAACGACCACTCCTTGTAAGCGATAAATGTGCATTTAATTTTTTTTTTTATTCGAATACGGTGACATAATATAATAGTATTATTGTTATTAATACGGCTTTTCGCGGAGGTTGTAAAACGACGGCAAGGGAAAGAAATCGGTTGGCCAAAATAAATTATTCAAAATAGATCGGCTTTTATAAAACATCTGGTTTGACGTCGGAGGGTTGTTAGACCGTCCGCGGTGTGTGTCCCTCCTAATTGAAAAATCCCTGTGGATTATACACTCATATACACACACACACGCCACCGGATACACAACGATGACTAACTATAAGCCTATATATCCCTTTTGTATTCGCCCGCACCCTTAGTCGATCCGTGTGGTAAAACTAGTAACGACATCTCAATGTAGTGTGTATAATAATATATTTATATCAATAGGGCCAATTAATAATTTCCGCACGCCTACGGCCACTGTACGTTATTCAATCAATAACGTTCCAAATAGAATGTGATCTAAATCGAATCTAAACGCCACACTGATGTGTCCCTTCCTGGCTTTGTCAATGCAGTTTATTATATTTTGTATCGTTTCTATCGTGTATATTATTATGTACCTATACTCTGGTTGACGCCTACTACGAGACAAACATAATCCGAATCCCGAAATCAAATTATACGCACAACTTTGGTCACAACAAAATTCAATGAGTTAATAAGCTAGGGATTTTTTTAATAACAAATACAATTTAAAAAAACCACTCATACGTCACTTATCGCACTGCTACAACGTTAGCCATAGACTGTTTTACTATTAATCGATTAAAATTCTGTGCTTAAGTATCTATATAGTACGGTCGCCTGTCCGAGTATGTATATTTCTACGAAATGCCCAATTTATTGCATACGCGGTTATCATCAGTATATAAAAAAATCAATGTCGAATTAAAACTACACTGTGTTCTAAGGAGTGTATGGGCGCTTTTAATCGATCCGCTTTATTCGTTTATTATAATATTACGAGTCGTTTAATGTTAAATTAATGGCGTCCACGCTGTGTGTTAATATTGTCTCTGAAATTGATTTCTCAAACGGATGAAACAAACGCAATCCTCAAGAAAAGCATTCACAATAGCAATGTAAAATAAAATCCATATAATTATTCTCTTAAAAATGCAATTAAGCACGTGTGTTGTGCGCAGTGGCGCCTTTGGAGGAAGAGATATAAGGGCCACGGGCCTCTTCCATAAACGGTCGAACCTTGTTTTCATCTTTTAAAATGTAGTAGAGACTAGAGTACATAAAATTGCTTAGTCACATTTTGTTAAGCTATAATAAGAAATGTTACGCAGCCACACGTTTTTGTTTGCACCTAAGCTACGAACAATTTAGTGAACCGATTATATAAAAAAAAAAAAAATGTTTGCGCGATGGATTAAAGCATTGAGAGAAAAACAACTTTTATTCATAACGGGTTGCCCACCATGTGGGGGTTGCCAAACTATACGGCATACTATAATACATAAAATAGGCTAATTTTCAATTTACAATACAAATAAACACCATTAACGGCGTAAAATTCAATAATATATCAGATTGCATAAATATGATTGTTTTATTTTTCTGTTTTAATAGAAAAGTGTTATATTTTTTGATTGGTTCAATTTTTTTTTTCGATTGACCAAAGCCACCGTTCTACTCGCATTAGATTCGATGAAACAAATGACGCGGTACCGGTTTTTGGCGGTTTATTCGCCCTGACCATGATCAGTTGTGCGTACTTAGGCCTTTGTTGTTATCGTTGCGTTCATGAGCCGATCGAAAGGGTTATCCGACCGATGATATCGCTCGTAGCTTAATTGTTATTATAATCATGGATACATTAACGTGCGGCGAGTGAGTCATTCGGATTTGAAATTTATCGGACTTTTATTGTTGTCAACAAATGCCGCCTGACGCCTGTGGTTGACTCATTGGTTCGCGGTGTTCTGTTTTCCAGATCGTGCACAATATAGTCAGCGCACCGAACAAACAAGTTCATGTGTTTATTCTAATATTTTAATATGTATATAATAATATATGTATTGTTGTATTGTTGCGCTTTATGTGTTGGCCAACAAAACAGACGTTTTTATATTGTGTATATTCGGCTAAAAATGTAACTCGACGCGAAAACATGACACACGAACCGACTCATTTGAAATTCATTTTTTAACCCCTACACCGAACAGACACAGCGTCGGACGACCTGTGCCACACATGGGTTGGGTTTAAGCAATAGTATTATTATTACTATTTTGCTCGTTTCCGTCCACTGTCTGCTCGCGTTCGGGTTGATACAATGTACTAAATGTAGATGTAATAAGTTACACCGTGAATCACTTGAGCGTTATTATATTATTTTCTTCTTTGGACTCGAATGATTCATGTCGCGACGCAGGATAGGCACTCCATCCATATACATAGGTGTGACCGAGGACGGAAGGAATCTGATACATATTATTACTGTTAGGACATTCGTCGGCGTGTGTGTAATTTTGTTTATCTTTGTCCAAGGTCGCACGGATCGATTAAAACAACAATAGTGTACAATAATAATTATTAATTATGTAAAATAAAATAAAAAGTGTATCGATTTTATCTCCGTTGTAGGTATAGGTACAGCGATTTTTTTAAATAATATTATATAGCTGCTAGCGGGGTCGACCGCGATGGTTGAAGGAGAATTTGAGGAATAATACCGCAGTTTCCAATCGAGCATTGTCTACACGGTACGGAGACTGCGAAACCGGGTGAAAGGCTGCTTTCGAGGAAGGATAATAACAACAATAATTGTTCTACAGTTACAAAACTATCCTTGCAACAATGGCGAGTAGCCGTGAAAGCGGTTCCGACGGGGTATCGGTGAAGCCGTACTCACCGCAACTGGCACACTGCGTGTGTGAAAATCTTGAACAAAAAAACTATTGTCTTATCGAGCTAAACCCGATCCTTAGTAAAGAAATTGCTCGCTTGACGCCTTACTGGGAAAATACCAGGAAAACAACGCCATCGGACATGTATTCATGGTCAGGTGATTCATTCGCATAATATAAACGCAAAACGGTCTAAACGCTTCTTGCAACAATT